GAGAGAGAGAGAGAGAGAGAGAGAGAGAGAGAGAGAGAGAGAGAGAGATCCCATTGTGGTATTTATGGTACAAAACATTTTTATTCATTAATATAATTTAATACCAATGCTGCTGGTAATTTGTTAGTCATATTAATAACCTTTGTGTGTTAAATTAAAACCATGTTCTGGGAATTTAGTTGAAAATTGGTCTTATATGTCACATCAATGTTATTACTATTTGGACATAAAGAAAATAGTATTGAGAGAGAGAGAGAGAGAGAGAGAGAGAGAGAGAGAGAGAGAGAGAGAGAGAGAGAGAGAGAGAGATCCCATTGTGGTATTTATGGGACAAAACATTTTTATTCATTAATAAAATTTAATACCAATGCTGCTGGTAATTTGTCAGTCATATTAATAACCTTTGTGAGCCTACCCCAACTTGCTTGGGACTAAAAGGCTATGTTGTTGATTAATAACCTTTGTGTGTTAAATTAAAACCATGTTCTGGGAATTTAGTTGAAAATTGGTCTTTTATGTCACATCAATGTTATTACTATTTGGACATAAAGAAAATAATATTATTAAATCTGGTGCTGGATTTTTTTTTTTTAAAAAAAACATTAATTATGTGGATCCTGTTTGATAATATGAAATGTTTATTGAAATTTACCCATGTAGACTGTAGATCTAGAAATGGACATATTCATTTCTGATGTTAAATGGAAAGCCTTAAATATGAAAATATTGAAATGTGGATTGAATAGATATCTCAACTTCGGAGATCATCATCATCATCATCGTCGTCATCATCGTCATCATCATCATCATCGCTATTATTGAACATGCGAACAATCATCAGTTTTCTATCTTGGCTTATAACTTTGAATTTTTCACCTGGTGATACTCATTCTAGTATCTAATGTCATTAAATTAATGCAGCTCAAGCCCTCTCTAGCCCGTTCTGGAAGATGATGGAGCCTCTATTTCGATTTATATCTGATGTGGACTTATCCTATTTGAAAAATCAGGTAAAGTTATCTATTAACTTTGCACAGCGATAAGATAATTGTTACATTGTAATAAAATCTGTAGTTAATGCTACCTTATGTTAAATACATCTGTAACTGCATAATTAATTCTGCATTTAATCAAGAAAAGAGTTGTTGGATTGTTTCTGTTTTGTTTTATATTTGATTTAGATATCCTACTTGAAATAGATGACATCTACTTACTACAAGATATGACTGCTTTGAAGTAGTAGTAAACTTGTAGTTGATACGGCCTATTGTTAAACTAACTTGTATCATTGTAGAATTTTTGTATTTAATGATCGATGTGACCTTTAATGCGTTTGAAGTAATGTTATGTATTTAGCAACAGCCATGAAATTTACTAATCTCAGTGGGAGCACTAAATTTTTATGTCTCCCCAACAGTCGAGTAACGGCTCATGGCCATTGCATTGAGTAGTTGCAGTATAGTGGTACATTCCATGGACATTAATCATTAATGCAAGGCATACATGTAATGCATGACACTTCATTCTATTTTCAGGTCTTATTCTAATCTTGGATCTAATGTTATTTTATTGGCGCATCTAAAGATTAGTGTACTTCGGGGTGTGCTGCTTGATTTACTGCAGCGATTTTCATGTTCTCTGCCCTGTTTAGTGACACTTTAAGATCATAGAACAACTATGCTGAATGTTTTTATGCATCTTTTTCTGCGATTTTTTT